ATCATTTGCAATGTCCCAGATTCATATAATATGGTTAAAATAAAAGCTACACAATTAAAGTCACAAAAGTTAATTTATTCCATCTGCAATACGGATACTATTTTTGGATTTTAAGGCCTTCCTTTACGAGTTAATGTTAATAATCGAGATCGAAAAAACTTTTTGGAAGTTTCGAAAAAGAACTAGAAACTTTGATAAAGCGTAGAGGACCCCAAAGTTATTTGATTAAATAAAAAGTTTTTAAACGTAAAATTTGCAATTTTAAATTCGTCGAAGTTGGGGTGTGAGAGACCACTTTCTCAAAACCCGAGCACGAAATGTCACCGCTGAATAATTAAAGAATGTTGGTGTAAAGTTCGAACTGTATATCATTTACACACAAAGAATTTTCTAATTATTGTAACGAGGTAATAGAACCAGGTCTCAAAAAAAAAACACTAATTATTAACCAAACTCTCCAATATAAAAAAAAAAATAATGAACAACATCCATTTCATAATATAATAATAATTAAAACTCATAAATTATTAACGTTCAGCCGACCTTTCTGCTAATTCATTTTCGAAAGCAACAATATAACATTTTAACGAATTACAAATTTTATATATTAAAATGGAACGCTCGTATGTATAATAAATATTATTAATTTTAGTTTTAATCATTTATATTTAATAAATCATGAACTTATGAAATGCAAAACTGAACTGACTTGACAATAAGGTTTCAGTTATTGGTAAGTTTTTTCACATTTTTGTAAAATTTTGGCTGTAGGTATCTACGTTGTATTTTATACCAAACCCAAAAATTTTTTGACAAGTATGGCATTCAAATTTCAAATATTGAAAAACCGATAAATTGAACATTTGCTGGTTTTTACATGATTAATGACTGACTATTCAATATCAAGGTGCTGATAATATTTCCTGGAATGTTGACCCTTAAAAACATCTAAATGCTCTTGGCCAAAAAGTGAGGTTATGGTTATGGCATGTTTCTTGGGTTTCCTTACTACTTATAAATAAATATTTTTACTGTGTGCTGACATTATTTGTGTAAAAAGATTAATTTTCAAAATTCCTTTAGGTTATTAATTTTGTGCAGTATTTTCAATTTCAATATGCTCTCGAGAGTTCTCTCTGTAGCATATTCATAAAGCAAAGTGATGCATATTCGAGTATAATATCGCACACAGAAGATAGAAACAAATCAAGGAAAATGCATATATATTCCAGACAGCCGAAACAAAAAGCCTTTAGCTCCCAAACGGCAAACAGAAAATAGAATTTCGCTGTTGAATAATTAAACAGGATCGTTTCAGGGCGCTTCTTTTTCTTCTCTTTCGGCTTTATAAAGTATAAATAACACAGTATTTATGTAAAAGCTACGAAATATACTGGACTATTGTCTTTAAGATTTAAAATTATTTACATACGATTGAATTTAAATGGTGCGACTTGCGACAGGCGGTTGTTCACTTATTGAATCAATCTTCGTGACGCTTTTAAGGACTTAAACAATGTCTTTTTACAATGCGTTATACTCAAATGGACGGGCTTATTTAAATTTATTTAGATCTGTTTTTACTGCCAAGGTTGTGGACATGTAATGTCGTTCAATGTAGAATGCCCACACGAAAGCCAGATTTTTTATTTTTTTTTTGGCAGAGTTGACACGAATTTGACAAAATCTATTTATCGAACAAGGTAATTTCGAGGCTCAGAAATAAAATTATAAGGTTTTTTCCTTTATACCAGAAAAATTCACGTTAAATTACCTTTGAAAAATTCTGAAAAATACTTCAGAGTATCAGATCGACTTGAAACTTTCAGGATTCGTTAACCAGGATCTTTTTATCAAACAAGGTAAATTTGAAGTCAATTTGAAGCTCAGAAATAAAATTATGAGGTTTTTTCCAACTCAATACCACAAAAAGTTGGAAAATTCACGTTAAATCACATTTGAAAAATCCTAAAAAATACTTTGGAGTATCAGAGCGACTTGAAACTTTCAGAATTTATTAATCAAGATGTTTTTATCCAACAAGGTGAATTTGAAGTCAATCTTAAGCTCAGAAATAAAATTATGACGTTTTTTTCAACTTAATACCAGAAAAAGTTGAAAAATCCACGTTAAATCACCTTTAAAAAATCCTGAAAAATACTTTGGAGTATCAGAGCGATTTCAAACTTTCAGGATTTATTAACCAGGATGTTTTCATCAAGCGAGCCAAATTTGAAGTGAATCTGAAACTCAGAAATAAAATTATGAGGTTTTTCTGAACTTAATATCAAAGATTGGAAAAGTCACGTTAAATCACATTTGAAAAATCCTGAAAAATACTTCGGACTATCAGATCAACTTGAGACTTCCAGGATTTATTAACCAGTATCTTTTTATCAAGCAAGGTAAATTTATAGTCAATTTGAGGCTCAGAAATAAAATTATGAGTTTTTTTCCAACTTACTACCAGAAAAAGTTGTAAAATTCACGTTAAATTACATTTGATAAATTCTGAAAAATACTTCAGAATAACAGATCGACTTGAAATTTTCAGGATTCGTTAACCAGGATCTTTTTATCAAACAATGTAAATTTGAAGTCAATGTCAAGCTCAGAAATAAAATTATGAGGTTTTTTCTAACTCAATACCATAAAAACTTGGAAAATTCACGTTAAATCACATTTGAAAAATCCTGAAAAATACTTAAGAGCATCAGATCGACTTGAAACTTTCAGAATTGAATAACCAGGATGTTTTTATTCAACAAAGTGAATTTGAAGTCAATCTTAAGCTCAGAAATAAAATTATGACGTTTTTTTCAACTTAATACCAGAAAAAGTTGAAAAATCCACGTTAAATCACCTTTGAAAAATCCTGAAAAATACTTTGGAGTATCAGAGCGATTTCAAACTTTCAGGATTTATTAACCAGGATGTTTTCATCAAGCAAGCCAAATTTGAAGTGAATCTGAAACTCAGAAATAAAATTATGAGGTTTTTTTGAACTTAATATCAGAAAAAAATTGGAAAATTCACGTTAAATCACATTTGAAAAATCCTGAAAAATACTTCGTACTATCAGATCAACTTGAGACTTTCAGGATTCATTAACCAGGATCTTTTTATCAAGCAAGGTAAATTTATAGTCAATTTGAGGCTCAGAACTGAAATTATGAGGTTTTTTCCAACTTAATACCAGAAAAAGTTGCAAAATTTACGTTAAATCACCTTTGAAAAATCTTGAAAAATACTTCGGGGCATCAGATCGATTTCAAACTTTCAGGATTTATTAATTAGGATGTTTTTATCAAAGAAGACAAATTTGAAGTCAATCTGAAGTTCAGAAATGAAATTATGAGGTTTTTTCCAACTTAATATTAGAAAAAGTTGGAAAATTCCCGTTAAATCACTTTTAAAAAATCCCGAAAAATTCTTCCGAGTATCAGATCAACTTGAAACTTTCAGGATTCATTAACCAGGATGTTTTCATCGAACTGGTGAATTTGAAGTCGATCTTAAGCTCAAAAATAAAATTATGAGGTTTTCTCCAACTTAATACCAGAAAAAGTTGGAAAATTCACATTAATCACATTTTAAAAATCCTGTAAAATACTTCGGAGTTTTAAATCAACTTAAAACTTTCAGGATTTGTTAATCAGGATCTTTCAATCAAGCAACGTAAATTTGAAGTCAATTTGAGGCTCAGAAATAAAATTATGAGGATTTTTCCAACTTAATACCAAAAAAAGTTGGAAAATCCACATCAAATCACCTTTGAAAAATCCTGAAAAATACTTCTTCAAAGTTTCAGATCGATTTCAAACTTTCAGGATTTATTAAGTAGGATTTTTTCATCAAACAAGCCAAGTTTGAAGTGAATCGGAAGCTCAGAGATAAAATTATGAGGTTTTTTCAAACTTAATACCAGAAAAAGTTCGAAAATTCAGGTTAAATCACCTTTGAAAAATCCTGAAAAATACTTCGGAGAATCAGATCGACTTGAAACTTCCAGGATTCATTAACCAGGATCTTCTTATTAAATGAGGTAAATTTGAAGTCAATTTGAGGATCAGAAATAAAATTATGAAGTTGTTGCCAACTAAATACCAGAAAAAGTTGGAAAATTCACTTCATTAACCAGGATTTTTTTATCAGACAAGGTGAATTTGAAGTCAATTTGAGGCTGATAAATAAAATCATGAGGTTTTTTCCAAGTAATTCCCACAAAAAGTTTGAAATTTCACGTTAAATCGCCTTTCAAAAATTCTGAAAAATACTTCGGAGAATCAGATCGACTTGAAACTTTCAGGATTCGTTAACCAGGATCTTTTTATCAAACAATGTGAATTTGGGGATCTTGCAAGTTTAGTTACATCTCAGCTTATGTAAAAGGTGTCGACGTAAGAGTTTATAGGAAAATGTATAGGTAGTTTATAACATTTTGAAAACTAAAATTCCAATTCATAGACGACTCGGTGTAAAATATGCAATAGAAAACTAATAATACAAATATTACCCAAACTCCAATTATTTGCTTACACAAAGGAAAAAGTGATTAAAAACGAGTTCATTAAAAATTGAAAATATTCATTAACTTTTGAAAACAAACAAATATCGGGCAACTATATTGATATTTACTGAATATACAATAATAAACAGAATCGATGTATCAGCAATACAATATAGCACAATATAAAAATTATAAATTGTAAATAAATAAAAGAAAAGTTCTTGCCATCGAGGCAATTGCTATAAAATAATATGGAATATTATTGTTAGTATACGCAATATCTCGTCGAAGCATGCGAGAACAGCCTACATTTTTAAGTACACACTTTATTAATCCGATGATCTCATTTTCGCCGCAACACCAATTTAAAATACGTGAGGTGTCGGTCGCTTAAGCTATCATTACGTTTAAATATTCCCCTTTTTTTTTCGTTTAATGAATAGCAACACTATAACAACCTACATCCTCTGAATATATTTTTTTTTTCCAGAACGACACGATGCGCATCGTTTGGGCGTTCCACAAAGACGAACCTGCTGGCGGCGCAGTCGGTCCGAAATCGTTGCCCCGGCACGAGTTGGCCAACAGGGGTGCGCAGTCGCTCTATTTGGTGCAGCGCGCAGACCAAGACGCGCCGAGTCCCGAAGAAACTGCGCGGGTGTGGGAAATGAGAAATCCCGCCGTCGAACCACCTTCGATTCCCGGCGACACGCTGTACTGGTGCCGGGTGTTTAGGATTCCGCCGAGTATTAACAGAAAACATCATTTGATTCGAGTGAGTATATTTTATTTTTTATTTAATAAGAATTTCAAACTGTTTTGTATCTTATATTCAACAACAATTGTTGATTAAACTTACAGATGGCATAGAGAGGACTGTAACTTCTCTTGTTTTTAGTGTTGAAAACATTCTGAATGATAAAATTATTTCAACATCACTTGTTGCTATTCCAGAACATATTAATAGTAGGACGTCACTTGGTTTAGACTTCATTGAACTTGTCAATATTGTGATAGACATTCCTCAGGGACAATTGTATTATGCTGAAACTCCACAATTTTCGTATTTATTTGAAGATGAGACTAGCTATGTAATAACTACTGCGGAATCTACTCCAATGTTTTCTGTACAACTGAATGCATCACAATTGAGAGAAAATGAAGGTGTACAACTAAGCCAACCGAAAAAGCAACAAATTCTTACTGCACCAATTTGCTGAATTATTCACATCCGGTACTGAGCCAACATCATATGCAGAACATACAGTAAAACTGACTGATGATATTCCAATTTCTGTACCACCTTATCGGATGTCTGAACAAAACAAAAACATATTGAGGGCAGAACTGGATAAGCTTCTGCAAGATGGAATCATAGAAGAATGCGAATTCCCATATGCTACTCCAGTTGTTCTAGTACCTAAACCTGATGGTAGTATTCGCCTTTGTGTCAATTATCAACTCCTAAATGAGAAAACAGTTTCCGATAAATACCCACTTCCTAGGATTGATGATCTATTACACACTGCAAAACATACAAAGTATATATATAACCACTCTTGATTTAAAATCGGGATACCATCAAGTCTCTGTCCGCGAATCTGACTGAGATGAAACAGCATTTATTTGCCCATTTGAAATTTTTCGTTATAGGAGGATGCCATTTGGAATGAAAAATGCACCCTCCATCATCCAAAGACTCATTGATCGATTCAAATCCGGACTCCAAGATTTGACCATATTAGCTTATATAGACGATTTAATCGTATTATCCAGAATTTACCAAGAACACCTTTCTGATTTACAACGAGTTTTTGACGGACTTGTAGCTTCAAAGCTTCACCTCAATCGATCTAAATGTTGTGTGCTCCCTATGAAGTAATTCCGAATCTTCCTCGTTCCATTGAGAGGGAACGGGAGCAGTGATTACTAGACTCCTTAATTAGAGTCAAATTTGAACTACAGCGGCTTCAAAGAGCCGATTTTTGAGTACTAGAGATTGCAGGACAGAAACTAAACAAATTCCATTCCTGGCTGTTCTAGAACTGAAATGTGAACAACTGAAGTATAAAAGTCCTGGTCATTTTCTAATTTTAGTATAATGAGCTCCTTTACACTTTGCAAGACTGTCAAGTGTCAAGGATCTTTATAGTCCTTTAAACTGCAATTATTGCTCTCACAACCTGGGTGCCCTAGCATTTGGAACATTCAAAGACAAGTGACCATTTTTGATAAATTTCAATTTTGGACTTGGTTACAAGTTGAAAAAAAAAATATATATATATATACTAGCTGAACCGGCGAACTTCGTACCGCCTTATGAATTATTAAATACCTATTAAATGTTGTGTTAACGTATCTAGTAGATGAATTAAATTCAGTTTTTTTCAATGGTGAATTTGGCCTTGGTTGAAGAAAATTAATGTTTACTCTCTGGATCAGAAATCACCTAAAATTAAAATTTTACATCATTTGGTTATTGATTTGAAATAGGGTGCCTCGCTTGGATCATAATCGCTCTCGGAGCCCTTCCGCAGAGATCTGTGACGTCACCGCCCAAAAAGAGAGCGCTCTGGGAGCAGTAAAGCCGAAAATGCTATAGGATAATACTGTTACGTCGGTTGAATGGAATAAACAAAAATAAGTTGAGTTATATAGTGGTGAAAAGCAAGAAAAAATTAAAAAATTTTGGGGTGGACCACCCTTATCACTTAGGGGTATAAAAAATAGCTTAAAACCTATTCTCAGACCTACCGAATATACATATAAAATTTCATAAAAATCGGCAAAGCCGTTTCGGAGGACGAAGGTAACTAAAACTGTGGCATGAGAATTTTATACATTAGATATATATATTTTTTGATGAGACAACACTGTTTACCAAAAAAATCCCTTTGAGCAAAAATTTCAAACAGAATCCGTGACTCAAATACACCAAATCAGACATGATAAATGTAAATATATCTCTTCACGTTAGGCATAAGAAAATATTAAAATACGCACATAATTTGTATCTCTGGTATTTTTTTTGAAAACAACCCTCCCTGTAAAGAAGCTGAAATAAAATTGATATTCAGATTGTTTTTTTTTTATATATATATAAAGAAAATCGGGCTGATTATAAGCGGAGAAAATTGAAACAGAGGGGGATGTACTCGGTTGTCATTTCGTCAAAAGAAAAATCAATTTGAGAATCATTCAGGAATTTAAATAACAAAGCCCACGTGAAATTAAATAAATTTAAATATATTTTTTTTCTCGGAGGGTTGAAAACAGATGGCCCAGTTATCGGGGGGGTTAAAATATTTTAAACCAGTTCAGATTGTTATCTTGCTCAAAAATCTTTTGTGCAAAATGTCAGCGCGGGCGTTAAATTCGGAAAAGGAAAATTTGCCCGGAGACTTCGAAACTACGTAATTTGCATCCCCATCTTTGGGGATTTCAAAAAGGTACGAGGCTTTCTATTTCTCGAAGGGGCTTTTCAAAAATTGAATGTACGCGCACGAAAAGCAAATCTGCCACTGAACTACATTGACTAGAAGTAAAATATTACGTTTAAATATTCACAAATATGACGTTTCAACAAAAAGGCATATAAAACTTGGAAGTTTTCGCTCACGTCTTATTTACTACAGTTTTTAAAGTTAAAATGTCGCTATCACGAAGACAAAAGTTCTTTACGAAGAGAGGGTGGGTTTTTTTTCAATTTAAACTTCTCACAAAATGTTCAACTGCAATGTTATATACAGGAACAAGTTTTTGAACAAAGTTTTATACATGCTCGAGGCGCTGATTGTTCTACATTTTAAAATAATCATGTTCGAAAGAATTTGCGGCCACAAAAGTTATAACAAGGGCCTTCTGTTATGTTGGATATTGTTCGAAAGCAATTTACGATAAATATTTTAGATGGGTAATAATGCCTTAGCGCGCTCCATATACTAAACTAGGTTAGGTCCAAAATAAAAGAAAATGTCTTTTTGAATAATTGATGAACCCAACATACAAAATATTTGTTTTTCAGGCAAACAAATTCGATATAATGGCACAATAACAATATATTTTTTTTATATTCACTTTGAATGAAGTTAGCCTTCATTTGCATTTCAACTTAACTCGGCTCAATTCAAAATTTAATGGAAAACGTTACATGCCAGGCAAATTTATTAAAATTCAGGGCATCTAATTAAGCCGACGTAACTTCATGTCCAATTAAAACTCAAATTAAATTTTAAAACATAAACATGAAGTAGACAAGTTGCAGTAGGTGATTATGTGAAAATTGAATTAGTTTTGTCGCAACGAAAAATAATAATATGTGGTTATTTAATAACACATTATTAGGTACTTATTAATATTAATAATATGAAATTTCACAGTTTCTGAAGTCATCTTTTCTTGTGATTATCCAAATACAATAGAAAGATTGAGTGAGTTCCGAAAGTTTTTGGCTCTAAGATACCAAAACTTCATCAGCAAAAAGTCAAGGATAATAAAGTTGTGATTTTTCAAATACAATAGAGAGAATAAATGATTCTCCCACTATGTCATCTACTTTCGTTTTGATCTATTTTCTGGATCGTTGGTGTAACTGGAAGGTCTACCAATTTTTTTATTAGCTCCAGAAGTTTTTGGCACTAAGATACCAAACTTCATCAGCAAAAAGTCAAGGCAAAACTCACTCGGATTATCATCTTATCCAATGTGACACTTGTGAAGCGAAATTTAAATTTAAACAAAGTTTGAACCAATATCTAAAGGTACACTCGGATGATGGACCTTTCCAATGTGACTCTTGTAATGCGATATTTAAATGGAAGGGCAGTATGAAGGAACATCTACCAACTCACTCCAATGTTTATCCTTTCGAATGTGACACTTGTAATGCAAAATTTAAACAGATCGGATATTTGAAGCAATATCTAAAGACTCATACGGATGTTTATCCTTTCGAATGTGACACTTGTAATGCGAAATATAAATAGATGAACAATTATTTATATTGAGTACTGAGATTTTGGGATTTCCCCATTTTCCACTTTTGACATTTCTATTCCTATCCATGTTTTGCTGGTTCCACTCAGAACCAGTTTTTAATCATTCTGCACAGGCGCATGTTATAAAACGCGTTTTCGTTTTTTTAGAATCGGAATCGAACTGTGTTGAAAGTGTTCTGGTTTATTTAGAACTATATGAGTACCATCATCACCAAAAGTATCTGGCACAAAAATAACTCATATTAATCTCCTGGACTAATTCTACCATCATTCATTTCAATGGATTTAATTCATAGTTTGATAACTATTTGACACTAAAAATTATTTAATAGTTCAAGAGCAAAAGTAGCAAGATACCAAAACTTCATCAGCAAAAAGTCAAGGCAAACTCACTCGGATGATCATCCTTTCCAATGTGACACTTGTGAAGCGAAATTTAAATTTAAACAAAGTTTGAACCAATATCTAAAGGTACACTCGGATGATGGACCTTTCCAATGTGACACTTGTAATGCGATATTTAAATGGAAGGGCAGTATAAAGGAACATTTACCAACTCACTCCAATGTTTATCCTTTCGAATGTGACACTTGTAATGCAAAATTTAAACAGATCGGATATTTGAAGCAACATCTAAAGACTCACTCGGATGTTTATCCTTTCGAATGTGACACTTGTAATGCGAAATATAAATGGATGAACAATTATTTATATTGAGTACTGAGATTTCGGGATTTCCCCATTTCCCACTTTTGAGATTTCTATTCCTATCCATGTT